TTCAGCGAGCTCTTTCAGGCCCCCAGTCAGGCTTGTTCCAAGCAATGGTTTCTCGAGAAGCCGCTCTCGTTTACTCGAGAAGAGATTTCCACCGCACTTCAGTCGATGTCGGCGCGCAAAGCACTGCCACAAGGCCAGGCACCAGCCCTGCTATGGAAGCTTTATCATGAGCCCATTGTAGACCTACTGTACACGGACTTTGCACAGCGATTCGGCCCGGGACCCATCCAAAGGCCGGAGTCCTGGCACCGAGCTTTTGTAGTACTCCTTCCTAAGAGCCCAACAAGCCCCCAACTGCAGTGGAACATCTCAGGCCTATAAGCTTACTGCCTGCCATATCAAAACTCCTTGCCCGCCTGGCGGCACAGCGTCTGCGTCCTCTTCTGTCCGCAGCGTTCGAGCGACATCCCCAATTCGCTTACATACTAGGAAGGAACACCAGTGACGCAATCGATCGGGTGTCAGCACACAGCAAGCTCGTGCGTGAGCGTACAGAAGCCTCCCGTCCGGACATCTTTGCCAGCAGAAGAGGCCTATCGGGGAGAAAATTAACGGGTGGCGTTCAATTGTCATTAGGCTTGAGTAAGGCTTTTAATAGAATACCCCGTCGATATTTGGCACTGGCGCTGCACCGAATATACGCTCCGGCAGAAGTACAACTCACTTTACATCCACCAGGAGACAAGACTAGTATTCGGGGTGCAAGGCCTTTTCTCAGAGGTGCAAACAGGCACCGGCATCCGACAAGGGTGTGGCTTAGCACCGCTTCTCTGGGCGGCGTATTCCCTGCTGGTTATAGAACAGTTGAGCACCTATTTGGATGTCTCGCAAATAACGGCCTTTGCGGACGACTATCACTCGTCATGGGAAGTCGCCAGCCGCCTGCAGTTCCGCAATGCTTGCGCTCAGATTGGTCGCATCCTGTCAGATCTTGCGGACATGGGCATGCAGGTGTCGAAGGAGAAAACAGTAGTCCTAATTGCCTTAGGGGGCAGCTCCGCAACAGCAACACTGCGCGGCCATGTGCGTCCAGGTCCCAAGGGCAAGGTTCTGCTAGTAGAAACTAGGCAAGGCCCGGTGCACCTACCAATCAAAAAGGAGCACTCCTACTTAGGGGTAATGATAGGATACAGCAGCTTTAAGCGCTCCACAGTACAGCATCGCATCCAGCAGTCCTGGGCTGCTTTCAGGCGGCTGCAGAGATTTCTTCTCACTCGTTCGCTGCCTTTGGCATTACGAGTCAAGCTGCGGAGAGTGTGCGTCATGTCGGTTCTAAGATATGGCCTTACAACGCTCTGCCCAGATGAGGTTAGCACGGTTCAGTTACGCAATCATGTAACCCGACAGCTACGACTCATAGCTATATAGGAGCCCAGCGCACGTTACTCATGAAACCAATCAGGCTCTCTACGAAAGGCTCAATGAGACGGACATTCTCCATCATCTGCACGCTCTGACAGAAGCCAGAATATCAAGTGCTCGATGGCAGGTTGGGGCCATGCAGCCCAGCAGGGTCCAGGAACACTGGAACAGCTTGCTAACACAGTATCTGACGCCGCCAACTGCCGCTAGCACTGGCACCACGACGCTGAGCCAGGTCACCAACAGGCCCCGGCATCCCGCAGCATGTTTCCAAGTCTACATGCAGTACGCACACATGTGGGCAAGCAACATCCGGAGAGCAGCCAAGCAGCCACACACAAACCGTACATGCAGAGAGTAGCGAAGGACTCTTCCAACATGAAGCACAGTGTAGATGGCATGCCGCAATGCAGACACTGCGGGAAGCAATTCTCCAGTTGGCTCTCCTTTCACGGGCATTTTGCACAGCAAGCCTGCTCTGTACTGCACGGACAGGGCGACCAGGCGGAATCCATTTTAGAACCTCCCTTTGCTGAAGGGGTCTCCGGACCGGAAGGGAGCACGGATCCGCTTCCACAGCAAGCGCCTTCGGGCACAGAGTCGGAGCTGCGACCCACGGCAGAAATTCCTCTTTTCTCACTGCCAGAGGTCCAGGAGACTGCCAAAACAGGAGACCCCAAACGTGTAGCGTCGTGCCTGCGCAGGCTTTACGTTCCGCAGCACTGCCCTGTCTGTCATTGCTGGTGTAAGAGCACAGCGTACATCTCTAGGCATGCATGCTGGAATCACTCTGACATCAAGAGTGCCGAAACCTCGGTGCGTGCATGGGTCAATGCTCGAGCGTGCAGCGGAGGAGCTCCGCTGCTTTGGCCACTTCATGTCAGTCCAGGCGGCACAGGCGAGCCGGGAGAAGAAGGAGCCAGCAGAGGTCTCCACGGCGGCTCCATCGGAAGCACCCCCTGGCACGGCCAGGAAGAGATGGACACGGAGACAAGGCCAGAGAAGAGGCAAGCGGAGACGGGGGACCAGCAGCAGCCCAAGTACAACAAGGCCAACGGAAAGGGCAACAACCCCCGGCAGGAGGGCAACAACGGCGACCGGGCCAGGGGAACGTCCTACCAGCGCTGGCCCCAACGGCAGCAGTCCAACCAGCGGGGTGGAAGATCCAACTGGGGCGGCAACTCCCGCAGCCGGAACCGGTACACGGACGACGAGCTCCGCGATGCCATCACGATCTCCAGGCTCCTTCTTCGCCACGCCGACGCCCTCTCCTACCTGCAGATGGACCATGGCTTCATGCTATTCCTCCGAACCTCGGCAGTACCACAGGGAACCCCGGGGAGGGCCAGGAGAAGACAGACTGGGCAGTGGTCAAACCACTTTGCACAGTGGCCCAAGCCTGGCGCAAGCAAAAGAGCGAAAAGCCGGAGGAGATGACCGCCACCCTGCGCACCACCATGGTGTACTGTTTGGTGAACACGCTCATCGAGCGCGTCCAGGAGGCCATAGCCAAGACGGAGTACCTCGAGAGGCTGCACCAGATGGAGATTATGGAAAACAACTGTTTTCTATACATAAGGTGGAACCCCACCAAGAAAGGCTACGACAAGGCCAAGACGGAGCACCTCGAGATGCAGCAGGCCCTGACCTACCTGCAGACGATCCTCCAGCACCTGGCATGGCCGAGGGTGATCCTTCGGCTTCACGCCTTGCGTCGCCTCACCGAGGAGATGTCGGCCGAAGTGGTGCAGGCTGGCTTAACCATGCATCCTCAGACGACATCGATCTGCACTGCACTTCAAAAGGTGTTCACAGGACCCCGTGTGCCTATAAGCCTGTGGAGCATCATAGAGTGGAGAAGCTCCTTCCCTGATTGGGGCCTGCAGGAGCAGCAAGATGTCGCTGAGTTTTTGCATGCAATCCGTGAGCCGCTCATCCAGGGCGACCTGCTTGCTTCCTGGGAAGCCCGAATGAAGATTGCATCAGGGCAGCCTGCCGAGGTCAGAGATGAAGGCTCCCTAATGCCCCTGTCTCTAACAGCAGCCATCAGCCGGAGGACCAGCTCGCACACCAGCTTGCAAAGCTTAGTTGACAAGTGGACCATGCAGCCCAATCGTCGACAAGATGTAGTCCATGCTGCAACGACTGACCCGCCGCTCTTGATTTTGCAGATCGCACGGTTTAGTGACCTAGGCCAGAAGCAACTAGGCACAATTACCCCGCCCTGGGTCATCAACCTCGCTGTTTTCCAGGGCCCAACGGCGGACGTCTACAAGGCCAAATATGAGGTAGTCTGCATCATATACCACATAGGCCCAGGCATCCGCAATGGTCACTACCGTGTGGCTTTTCTGAGAGCCGGCAAGATAACGCATACCAGTGAAGATAGAAGAGAGGCTAGTCCTATAACATTCATACAACGTCATCAAGTGCTGTCAAATTCGTATTTATTTCTTTTGCGTCGGATTGCATAGGCCTCCGTAGCATCTGCCCAGCGATCCGGGTATACTTCATGTGGTATTCTATCTCGACTGGTAATATGGGCATCTTCATATCGGCTTCCCTGCTTAAAGGCCTTTCGAGGCGGGGGAAGCTGGGATCGCGCTTTCAAAGGTTGTGGGAGCCACAGTGCTGTGTCGCAAGACGCCGGTGCAAGGCATCGCCCTAAGAGGACGCAGCGCGGACCTTCCTCTGCGGCGTGAGAGAGAGA